TCAGGTCGTGATCTCACAGTTCCTGAGTTTGAGCCCCACATTGGACTCTCTACTGTCAGCACAGAGCCTGCTTCAGACCCTCTGTCTCCCTCTCTTTCTGCACCTCCCCTGCCAAAAATAAGTAAACATTTATTAGAAAGAAAAAGAATATTATACCACATCATGTCTGGTATAAGAACCTTACTTCTGGAGACTTCTAATTCCTCTCTCCCATCTTTTGTATAATTGTTCTCATGTATCTTACCTTTACATACGCTATAAAGTCACAATATATTGCTACTATTTTTGTTTGACCGTCAATTATCTCTTAGAGTAATTAAAAATAAGAAAAAAAGGGGGGGTGGACCCTCGGTGGCTCAGTTGGTTAAGCTTCTGACTTCAGCTGAGGTCATGATCTCAAAGTTCATGGGTTTGAGCCCAGTGTCAGGCTCTGGGCTAAAAGCTAAGAGCCTATAGCCTGCTTCAGATTCTATGTTTCTCTCTCTCTCTGCCCCTCCCCTGCTCATGCTCTGTCTCTCTCAAATAAACATAAAAAAATTTTTTTAGTAAGAAAAAAATTAATTTTATATCTATTTTCATTTATGCCATTGCCAGCACTATTCATTTTTTATATTGATCAGGGGTTGGCAAACTTTCTCTATAAAGGACCAGATGGTAAACATTCTCTGCTTTGTGGGCCATATACTCTTTGGCAATTAGTTAACTTTGCCATTGTAGCATGAAGGCAGCCATAAACAATATGTAAACAAGTGAGAGTGGCCAGATTTGGTCTGTGGTGGGTCAGTTTGGCCCATTGATACAAGTTTTTGACTTGTATCAATCACCTTCTGCCTATAAGAGCATTTCTTTCTTTCTTTTTTAATCCGAGTTAGTTAACATATAGTGTAATAATGATTTCAGGAATAGAATTTAGTGACTCATCACTTACATATGATACCCAGTGCTCATCCCAAAAAGTGCCCTCCTTAATGCCTATCACCCATTTAGCCCATCTCCTCACTCACCTCCCCTCCAGCAACCCTCAGTTTATTCTCTGTATTTAAGCGTCTCTTATGGTTTGCTTCCCTGTTTTTATTTATTTTTGCTTCTTTTCCCCTATGTTCATCTGTTGTGTTTCTTAAATTCCACATATGAGTGAAATCATATGATATTTGTCTTTCTCTGACTTATTTCTGGGGGACTGGAGGGAACTATTGAAAAAGTCAAAAGTGTTGTTTCTGGGTGATTATTATAAATGATTTTTTTTGTCTTGTACTTTTTCAAAACTGTCTAATCTCAACCTGTGTTTTCATCTTTCCACCCTTCTCTAGATGTTTTATATTAACATTTATTCTCATCCCACCTGCTTATATCCTCCTTTCTGGTTAGTCTGCTCAGTTTTCCACTTTCTTAAGTACAGCATCCTCATTGTCCTTTTATTGTGCCTTACATTACTCATTCTCCCATCTCTGTTTTTTTCTGACACTTCCTCTGCCACTGCCAGGAAGTGCTTTCTGAAAACATTCTAATAAACATGTTTAATAAGCATCATTTTTGGGGTTGCCTAGGTGGCTCAGTTGGTTGAGCATCTGACTTGGTTTCAGCTCAGGTCATGATCTCCTGGTTGTGGGATCAAGCCTCACGCTGGGCTCTGCGCTGACAGCAAGGAGCTGTCTCTCCCTCTCTGCCCCTCTCTCTGGATCTCTCTTTCTCTAAAAATAAATAAACACTTTTTAAAAAGCATCATTTTTGTTTTATTTTCCTCTTGCTAACTCAGCAGTTTTCTTTCTCTCATCACAGAGAAAACAAAAATACGTGTACTTTTTATTTATTTCAGATTCCGAATCTATACCTGAAACTAAAGAATCTTTTTCAAAGCAAGAACTTTATGAAGAAGTGTCCTCCGAAAGAGAGCTGATAATAGAAAGACTTAAAAAGGTTGAGGCCTGGGACTCCAGATTGATAGAAGCCTGGCAATGTGAAGGCACATTAGAAAGGCAGCAAGGAAACCGGAAGAAAGATTTAAGGCAAGCCATAATTAAACACAACAAAACCACTGTGGAGGATTGTAATGAAATTGGGGAAAGTTCAAACCCAATCAAACATCAAAATATTTACTCAGTGAAAAAGCCTTGGAAGTGCAATGAATGTGGGAAGTTCTTCAGTTACTACTCAGCCTTTATCCTACATCAGAGAATTCATACTGGAGAGAAGCCTTATGCATGTGCTGAGTGTGGAAAGGCCTTCAGTCGGAGCTCATCACTTATTCAGCATCAGAGAATTCACACGGGAGAAAAACCTTACGAGTGTAACAAATGTGGGAAAGCCTTCAGTCATCGGTCAGCCCTCATTCAGCATCATATCATTCACACTGGAGAAAAGCCCTATGAGTGCAATGAATGTGGGAAAGCCTTCAACCAAAGCACATACCTTATTCAACACCACAGAATCCATACTGGAGAGAAACCCTATAAATGCAAGGAATGTGGGAAAGCTTTCAATGATACCTCATCCCTAATTAAACATCAAAGAGTTCATACTGGAGAAAAACCTTATGGATGTAAAGAATGTGGGAAAGCCTTTAGTGACAGGTCGGGCCTCACTCAACATCAGAGAACTCATACAGGGGAAAAGCCATATGAATGCAGTGAATGTGGGAAAGCTTTCAGCTACTGTTCAGCTCTTATTCAACATCAAGGAACCCATACTGGGGAGAAACCTTACAAATGTAACGAATGTGGGAAAGCCTTCAGTGATCGCTCAGCTCTCATAAGACACCAAAGAATTCATACTGGGGAGAAACCTTACAAATGTAAAGAATGTGAGAAAGCCTTCAGCCAGAGCTCATCTCTTACAAAGCATCTGAGAACTCATACTGGAGAGAAACCATATAAATGCAGTGGTTGTGACAAAGCCTTCAGTCAGAGTTCATCTCTTATTCAACATCAGAAAACCCACACAGGAGAAAAACACTACAGATGTAAGAAATGTGAGAAAACCTTCAGTGTGCGTTCAGCCTTTTATCAACATAAAGAAATTCATGATGAATAGAATGCAGTAAATTCATGAAATAGTTATGTATTCTTGGGGCACCCAGCTGGCTCAATAAGGCTGGCTCAATGCAATTTTTGATATTGGGATCATGAGTTCGAGTCCCATGTTGGGCAGAGTTTACTTAAAAAAAGAAAAAAGAGGGGCACCTGGGTGGCTCAGTCGGTTAAGCATCCGACTTCAGCTCAGGTCATGATCTTGCACTCCATGAGATTAAGCCCTACATCAGCTCAGAGCCTAGAGCTTGCTTCAGATTCTGTGTCTCCCTCTCTCTCTGCCCCTTTCCTGCTGGCAGTCTTTCTCTCTTAAAAGTAAACATTGAAAAAAGAAAAAGAATTATGTATTCTCTACTGATCATGTAGACCTGTGTTCTAAGTATTACCGGCTACTACAAAAATGTATGAGGCTGCATCATGCAAAAAATAGCTCTCTTCCTTGAAATGGTATTAGGTATGGGAAGAGGACAAGAGGTATAGTAACAGAACCCAAGAAGCTGAAGAGTGGAGAATTCCTAGGGGAGCACAGAAGGAGAAAGTCTGGTTAAGTCAGAGAAAAGAGAGTCAGGAGCTAAGCATCTAATGTCAGTAGAAAAACTACCCCAAGCAGCAGACTTAACAGTACTTGAGGCTGATGGCTCTCTAAATAGTAGTTTCAACCTGAAGCCAAGTGTGGAAGATCAGGATCCCAAAGAGGAAAATCACCAGGATGTTTCTCTAGGAAAATAAAGAGGAAGAAAAATATCTAAGCCTAGGAAATCTTCCTTTTCTCTGTCCCTGCACTCCACTTGTTCACTTGAACATTTGCAAACATTTAAACCATTGCTTATTAATCCTGGGTGTACACTGAAATCATCTGAAAAATACCTGGGTCCCAGTCCTAGAGATTCTGATTAAATTTGGCCTGGGGTGTAGCCTGGGCATCAGGAATTTAAAAACTCCTCAGGTAGTTCCACCAAGATTAAGAACCACTGATTTAGGCTCTTAGTGCACAAGGATCAAGTCAATAAGGAAGGATAATAACAACCCACGTTCATTCTCGGGAGCTCTCTGTGTCCTTGTTTCTGCCTTTTTTTCTCTTGCCAATTATATAATGTCATCCTTTCTTTTACCTGACGTTGGATCCTTTTGTTTGGTCCTTTTTTGTTTTCTCTGACTTTGTGTAAATTGAGCTGCCTGATCCTAACTTCTGCTCTGGCCCCTTACCCTTGCTAAATGTGCTCTTTTAAGCCCGCTTACAGCTTTCTCAACCTCTTCTGCCCACAAGGATCCTATATTGTGCTTGCTACCCATGGCCTGATGGTGGCAAATATTAACCATAAGAAACAAGAGGAGACCCTAAAGACCAAAATCAGGAGTGGAGACAGGGTGACTGGAAGGGAACTTCAAAGGGTTAAACTTTTGACTCCAACTGTATAGTTTGTATCTTAGAATTTCCTGAAATTATAATAAAATTTAGTTGTGTGCACGAATTAATACTGAACTTCAAGGGATGTAGGTGGAAGGAAAGGTAAATAAAAAGTGTTTCTACATTTAGTATGACAAACAGTAGTAATGCTAAAGAGATTACGAGAAATTACAGATGATATTGTAATCCCTAAAGAATACCCATTAAATAATAGTGCAAGTAGAGGAATTAAATCACATATTAAAAAATGTTTAACCCTAGGGGTGCCTGCTGGCTTAGTCAAGGAGCATGCGACTCTTGGGGTTGTGAGTTTGAGTCCTACACTGGGTGTAGAGATTACCTAAATAAATAAAACTTAAAATGTTTAACCCAGAAGAAGGCAGGAAAGGAGGAAGAGAGACACAGATAGAACAAATTGTAAACAGGCAGCAAACTGGGAGACCTAAGTTCAACCATATCAGCAATTGCATTAAACCTAAAAGAAACACTCCAAATAAAACTGACAGGTTGTCAGACTGAATAAAGAATGACCCAACTATATCTAAAAGAGGAACACTTTTGGGGCGCCTGGGTGGCGCAGTCGGTTAAGCGTCCGACTTCAGCCAGGTCACGATCTCGCGCTCCGTGAGTTCGAGCCCCGCGTCAGGCTCTGGGCTGATGGCTCGGAGCCTGGAGCCTGTTTCCGATTCTGTGTCTCCCTCTCTCTCTGCCCCTCCCCCGTTCATGCTCTGTCTCTCTCTGTCCCAAAAATAATAAACGTTAAAAAAAAAATAAAAAAAAAATAATAAATAAAAGAGGAACACTTTAAATACAGAAACACAGGTGAACATTCAAGAGATAAAGATACACAATGAAAACACTAATCATAAGAAAGCTGGATATGTTAATATCAGATATAATAGAATTCAAGAAGGTATCATCATAAACAGAGGACATTTTATAATGATAAAATGGTCAATTCATCAAGGTTGGTAAATCTTATAATGTGTAACTATGTTACAGATGTGATGTGTTAATATTATAAATAAGATCATTTTAAGTTTACTAATATATTATGTGCCTAATATCAGGGCTTCCAAAATCACAAGGTAAAAACTGACAGAACTAAATTTTAAAAAAGAACAATCCACAATTTTATAATTGGAAATTATAACACTCCATTCTCAGCAGTTGATAGAATATCTAGACAACAAATATTAAATATTTAGAAGAGCTGAACAATATGTCTATATTGTCTACCATCTTGAATTGAGTGGCATATATACTTTATAGAACACACAAGGAACACGCAGCAACTTAAGAGTGCACATTCCCTTCAAGTGCACATGAAATGTTCAAGTTAGATTGTACACTGGGGCTTAGAGCAAGGCTCAGTAAATTTAAAGGACTTAGGATATTCTCTACTACATTTGATGAAAGTAGAGATCAATAAAAATAAGAGGAGGGGTGGGGCGCCTGGGTGGCTCAGTCAGTTAAGTATTCGACTTCACCTCAGGTCATGATCTCACGGTCTGTGAGTTCGAGCCCCGCGTTGGGTTCTGTGCTGACAGCTCGGAGCCTGGAGCCTGCTTCGGATTCTGTGTCTCCCTCTCTCTCTGCCCCTCCCCTGCTCATGCTCTGTCTCTGTCTCAAAAATAAATTTAAAAAAATCAGCAACAACAACAAAAAAAA